TAGCTGGGTGCTGGCAGGCTTGCACCTGGCACGGGCACCATAGCCAGCCCGTGCCCCTTTAAGGGGTCCGGGGCCGGGAGGGGGGCAGACAAGTTTCCCTGGTGGTGCTCAGAGTGGCCACCAGGGAAAGCTGGGGAGGGCTAGCCTCCCACTAGTTCGAATTAAGTGGCTACACAGCCCTTAATTCGAACTAGGGTATGTCTACACTACCCTCCTAGTTCGAACTAGGAGGGTAATGTAGGCATACCGCAATTGCAAATGAAGCCCGGGATTTGAATTTCCCGGGCTTCATTTGCATAAGCGGGGCGCCGCCATTTTTAAATCCCCGCTCGTTCGAACCCCGTGCCGCGTGGCTACACCCGGCATGAACTAGGTAGTTCGAACTAGGCTTCCTCATTCCAGTTTGGAGTCCTGATCTTGCAAAATGCTGTCACATGCCTGTGGGGAGCTGAATGTCCTCACATTGTTGTGAAGTCAGAGGAAGTTAAGAGCTCGTAACACTAGTAGTTTTGCAGATTCTACTGTTTCCAATAATTCAGCTATAAATTGGGTATACATTCAAACTTTGGAAGCATATCTGATCTGAACTTGAACTTCACACCATTTCAGTCTGCTAAACCTTACATTAACTAAGAATATTCTCAGTGTGGAAATGCTATAAGATGACTTGGTATATTTTATTTAAAATCAGTGTGTTTTCTTATCTAGATGGAAATTGGTCTAGCTACAGACCAAGCACGACACACAGAAGAGATTCTCAGGCTCAAGGAAGATGCTAGAATGGAATTAGACATTGAAAGACAAAAGCACCAAGAATTAGTAGCAAAGTATCAGAAAGATCAAGAGGAACTGCAGATGAAGGTTGGGAGAATTGAAAGGAAGTTGGTGTTTGTTACAACAGTAGATAATATACCTTGGAGACTAAAAGGAATGGAGGGGGGATTCTATTTCCTCATCTAGATACTGTAATGATATGCAAGTAACCTTTCTCCCTGTTTTAGTCTATACAATTCATTCATATTATTAGAAATGGAACTGAGCAAACACACTTTGCATATAGCTATTCCATTTAAAGATATTATAAGATAGATATTTTCACATTTACTCAGACCCAAATTTCTCCTAGCTATAGTTTTTTGACATATTGATTTTTCTTACAATGTCATAGGGTATGTCTAGACTACATTCTTCTGTCACCAGAGGGATGTAAATTAGACATACTGAAATTGCTAGTGAAGCGGGGATTTAAATATTCTGCGCTTCATTAGAATAAAAATAGCCTCCACTTTTTGCCGCCTTAGCAATTTGCCAGCAAAAAGCGGCAGTCTAGATGGGGATCGGTAGACAAGGAAAGCCTTTTCTGACCGATCCTGTAAACCTCATTGCACGAGGCAAAAGGGTTCAGTTGGAAAAGGCTTTCCTTGTCAACCAATCCTCGTCTAGACTGCTGCTTTTTGCGGGCAAATTGCCGCAGCAGCAAAAAGCAGCGGCCATTTTTATTCTAATGAAGAGCGGGATATTTAAATCTCCACTTCATTAGCAATTTCGGTATGTCTAATTTACATCCCTCTGGCAACAGAGGCCGTGTCCAGACTCAGGGGTTTTTTCGGGAAAAGTAGCCTTTTCCCGAAAAAACTTCCCCTGCGTCCAGACTCAAGCCGCGTTCTTTCGAAATTATTTCGAAAGAACGCGGCTTTTCTTTCGATGGCGGTAAACCTCGTTTCACGAGGAAGAACGCCTTCCTTCGAAAGTTCTTCTTTCGAAGGAAGGTGTTCTTCAATATAAGGAGGCTGTCTTCGAAAGAGAGCATCCAGACTCGCTGGGTGCTCTCTTTCGAAAAAGCGGATTTTTCTTTCGAAAGATCCGCCTGCAGTCTAGACGCGATCTTTCGAAAGATGCTCTTTCGAAAGATGCTTTCGAAAGAACATCTTTCGAAAGAAGCCTGCAGTCTAGACATAGCCAGAGGGATGTAGTCTAGACTTTCCCTTAGAATGGTCTAACTGAAATTAAAAACAATCAAACTATATTTCATACACAATTTATTTAATTAAAAGTAAAATCAAAGCCCTGTGACTACTCCGAACTATACTGAGCTAACATAAAGTTTTTGTTAGTGCTTTCACCCTCAGCAGAGGATAGTGCTTATTGGACAAAACCAAGTATTGATTCCATTAGTTATCAATCCTTTTATCAATGGTGATTTCTTTCATTCAGTATAATTTTCTATTCCTGTCTCTCTTCATGTGTTTTCCTAGCCAAGTAAATGACCAGTTATCTGAATCCTCTTTATCCAAATCATAGTTTTCCAAAATTCATATAAAAACTGAAAATAATTTTCCAATGGTTTTAGATGTCCCATGAGATATATAGAAAATCAAGAAAGGAATTTATATTATGCATATTTCAAATTCATTAAGTTAAGCCAGTTTTCCAGCAGTTTAAAATAAAGCATTGTTTTATTATTATTGTTATTTTATTATTTATGTATTATTTTATTTGTATTTTATGTTTTATTTATTTATTTATTATTTTATTATTTATATTATTTTTTTAAAGACCATCTAATTACTCAAGAAGTTGAAGCTGGAATTAGAAATCAGAAGACTTTTCCCATTTCTAGCATAGTTTCACTATTTGATCTTGGGCAACTCACTTAATCTCTTTGTGCCTGAATTTTCTTATATTTTTAAAGCACTTTGACATCCTTGAAGGTATTATGTAAGTCCAAATTAGTGGTATTGTTCGTTTGTACCTGTTAGAACCTGTACATCTTCACTTTCTTACTCACTTACAGAACTCTTTTTTCCTGATTTAAATTCTACATAACCAAGGAAATCAATGCATGTGAACTAATGTAAGATTTATCACACAGATACCTGAATTAATATCCAGTGCCATCAACAGCCTAAGGATGGAAGTGGGAATTCTTAAAAACCAGCTTCGGGAAGCCCAGATCAAACTTACAGAGAAAGATGGAGATAAGGAAGAAGAAATGCGAAACTTTAAAAGGCTGGTTACTAAGCTTGAATTCCAGCTTAAGATGGAACAGAACAACAGTGATTCATTATCAGAGGGAATGAGGAAAGAAATTAAACAGAAGTCAGATGAACTGGAAAAATTAACTCAAGAGCGAGCAGAGCTGATTCAGAATTTGAGTCAGGCTCAAGAGGAGGTAGGAACTTGACCAAAGACATGCCCTGCTGCATTCAGTAGTAGATATGCGTGTACTATTCGGTTATCAAAATACTAACATACAACTTAGAGCAATGAAAGTGCCAACTTTTAAATACAATAAAATCTTCAATTCTACTCCAATGTGTTAATTTTACAAGTTTTTAAATGAAATCTGTAAATTAAATGAAAAGCTAAGTTTATTAACACATTTGAAATAATTAATGTGACCCCTCCCCCCCGCAAGGCAAGCTCTGCAAGTAGTGCATTATTACAGCCCTTTCAGGTCCTTGATGGCAATTGTCTTTCATCCTTATGTTTAACAACACTCTAGAGCAGGGGTTGGCAACCTTTTCAAACCAAAGAGCCACATGAGTAATTATGCGTTTTTAAAGTTTTGAATTAATTTTTCATTTTAATTTAAAAGGTTGGATGTATTTTGGGAATGACAAATGAGCCATATTCGGTTCCATACTAAGCTATGTTTGGCTTGAGAGCCATAGGTTACAGACTCCTGCTCTAGAGATATTCTGCTATAATGTAAAGGAACCCTGGATTTTTTTCAAAATAGAAATCATGGACCATTACAAACACTTAGTAGGAGTTAGGTTGTTAGATATTCCTATCATAAGCAGCTCCTGAATGGTTTAAGTACAATGAGAAAAACAAAAAGAACAATGCTGCTATGTTAAAAATGCTGTCAAAAGTCAGCAGAATCACTGATGGTAGATGAGATTGGACTGGAATATCCAAAATAATTAGTGGCAGTTGAACTTGTAAACAATAAATGAAACACTTCAAGATGAATGAATTATTATGCTGATATTTGTTTCTGATAAGGAAAAGATTCATATTTTCTCCTAATTTCACTAATCCAATCACACATTCTGAGTTATAACTAGCCCCAGTGAACAATCTTTAGGTTGAAAAAGTTAGTCCAAACTGTTTAGCAGACCATAATGAATAAAGAATGCACTCACAGAAATAACTTCATAACTATTTTGCAGACAGAGAAAAAAGTGAATTTTTGGATAACATTTTCACAATAAATGATGCAATCAGCTTATGCACAAACAGTGATTGCCACTATTGCATCAAACAATTACAAATATTTCTTTTTCTCTTGTCCGATGAAACCCTACATGCAACTAAGGATGCCTTCCCAGCAAGTAGTCTATTGGGGTTTGTCTACACTGCAATAGAAGACCCACAGCACAGCTAAGGTTGGACTATGTCAACTGACTCTGGGGCTCAATATTGCAGTGTAGATGTTTGGATTTCGGCTGGAGTCTCAGCTGAGAAAACCCTCCCTCTTCATGGGGCTTCAGAAACCAGATTCCCAAATGTCTGCACTGCAATTTTTAGCCCCATAGCCTGAGCTGCAAGAGCCCAAATCAGTTGACCCAGGCTCTGAGTCTTGTAACATGCAGGTTTTATATTACAGTGTAGACATACTTCTTTTTGCTTTTTTTATGAGAATGATATTCTGGTAAATCCAGGCATGGTGGTGTGGTAAACTTGGTTTACTGTGCCTGATTTGCAGACATTTTTCACTGTCTAGACCTGACCTTAGGCCTCTTTAAAATTCTAGTGTATAAGTGGTCATTTTTGTTTCTGGGAAAATGGGACCTGAAGCAGTAGAGCTGGAACACTGCAACATCTTGTATTTATAGCTTGGTGGTCTGTCTTCTGACAAGTTTTAAACTTTCTTGATTATTTCCTATTTTAAGCTATTTCAGGTTAGTCAACTTTTCATCCTTGGTATGTTTGCTGTCTCGGCCTTTAATTTTTTTTATTACCTCCTTTATTCTTGAAATTTATTGTAAACAGATTGATTGCATTGCTGTTTTACCTAATGAAGGTCCCTTTTATCTTCAGAATAACTGATCCCAACATTGCTCATATCTTTTTGCCTCTGTTTCTTCCATTTTTCCCCTCCTCATAATGTCAAAGTCATCTCACATTTTCTCCAGGCTTGTACGCCTAAAATCAGTTGTTCTATTCAACTGCACTCCCTTAAATCTGATTGTTTACAGCATAGGATTCTTCTTTCTCTTGTCCCTCGTTGTTGCTTTTCCTCACCTCTTTATGCTGCTACTCTACATACAGATCTTTAAGTGGTAGCATACTGACCTCTCTTTTTCACCCCATATCTTATGCTGTGTTCTTGTTCCCTCACACTTTTTCCTTTCCCTTCTCCCTTTACTTCTGTTTCCCTCTGCCCCAGTTCTACAAACACCTCATTTCTGGGTGATTGGATGGTCACACAAGAAGTACTTCAGTCATTCATCTCCTTATTTCTTCATCCTTTTTTGCCATTGTCATTGTCTCTTTCTTCTGTCCCAAGAACAGGCATCTCCCTCTCCACTCTCTGGGTGGGAGATGAGGAGAATTTTGTGATTGGAATTCAGGAATATTTCACCTCTTGTTCCGCTTTCCTCCCAGTGAGTATGAAAGCAAATTACCATCAGTAATGATGTTTTGAGGCTACTGGATTGCCATTTCTCTCACTCCATATCTGTAGATCACTGTCTTTGGAATGATAAAGTTAATATCAGAAGTGATGGGACAAATTGATGGGCTTCATATAAAAATTCATTAATTCACTCACACTTGAAAATATGTGACAGGAAAGAAGAAAATATGTACAGGCAGTCCCCAGGTTACGTACAAGATAGAGACTGTAGGTTTGTTCTTAAGTTGAATCTGTATGTAAGTCGGAACTGGCATCCAGATTCAGCCGCTGCTGAAACTGATCAGTTTCAACAGCGGCTGAACTTCTCAGCCATTCAGTTAACTAAATTACCTGTAAGTGTTAAACCCAGACACAGTGGTTCTCAAAGTGTTGGCAGGGAGTCAGGAGAGTCAATGGGAAGGGAGTGTGAGATTTGAATTGAAGCAGGATCTGCCTGCATCAGTCTTGTATGTGTAGGAGAGGAAGAGCGGAGAGTGGTGGGCTGAGCCAGGAGCAAGGCTTAGAATTTCCAGCAATATCCACGCTTAGAAAGGACTAAACCTTGGTACAGCAGATGTGAGTAGAATAGGGATGTTGAGTTAGATACAATCAGGTTATTTTCTTTATCTTTTGGGGCTTGGTTGAATTCCTTTGTGCTGAACCCATGTGACAGCTCGCGCCTCCCTTCCTTCCCCCCCCATATACTGTAACTCTTAAACTGAATCTCAGTGAAGCAATTCTCTGTGTTATACCAATAAAAGCAAGCAGGATCTTATGAGGGGGATAAGGCAAAAAGCCACATTTATTGTAAAGATAATAATAAAAAAATAAAGAAAAGATAGAAGCAAACAACGTTGTTTAACTACTTAACCCTTATACATATAAACATTCATTAATCCATTCATTCAGGTTCTGTGTATTTGTTATAGTTACCAGCCTGGAAGTTGCTTGTGACAGAATACTGGCCAGGTATTCTGTACACAATTGATGGCAGACCAGGGAGACGGGGAGCAGCTTTTCTCGCCCTGGAGGAGGCGGGCGGCGGGACCAGGTGTCCCGCTGCTCCAGTCCTCCGGGGCGAGAAAATCCCCGTTCGTAACTGCGGATCCGACATAAGTCGGATCCGCGTAACTCGGGGACTGCCTGTAGTTTGTTTCAAAAGAAATGTCAAATGGGGGAAAACATTTTCTAATAAGTCACTGTACAAAATAACTGTCTATGACGTGTCTTATTGCTTCAGCAGACGTTCCACAGTATTATTCCTCAATAACTTTCAGTAAATTGGCACTTGACAATTTCATCTTTTAGAATAGCTCTTTTGCAAAGACTGCAGATAAAACAGAAATATCCTGACTGCCTGATGAAGTAGAATTATAGAAAAACATTTATTATGATTTTTACAGTGGGAGCAGATTAAGATATGACATATAACAATTATATTTAAGCCACCAGGGGTATGTCTACACTACCCCGCTGGTTCGAACCCCGTGCAGCGCGGCTACACGGGGCACGAACTAGGTAGTTCGAACTAGGCTTCCTAGTTCGAACTACCGTTACTCCTCATTTCACGAAGAGTAACGGTAGTTCGAACTAGGAAGCCTAGTTCGAACTACCTAGTTCGTGCCCCATGTAGCCGCGCTGCACGGGGCTCGAACCAGCGGGGTTTTAAAAATGGCGGCTCCCCGCTTATGCAAATGAAGCCCGGGAAATTCAAATTCCAGGCTTCATTTGCAAGTGCGGTATGCCTACATTACCCTCCTAGTTCGAACTAGGAGGGTAGTGTAGACATACCCTAAGTGACTATGTAGTAGAATTCTAATACCAAGAAAACACACTCTCTCTCCTGCTGTCCATCTGAAGTATTCCCACAAACTCATCCACAAGCCTTTGAGCTAAGTACTGATTTGATTTATGTAGTCATTTTAAAGCAAATCCTCACTTGTCAGCAAGTCAGGTTCTGCCTCATTGTGTTTTTCCTACGGTGGAATAGTTTTGATACATCACACAGAAAATGAATAGAACAGACAGCTGAAAAATGAGAAATTTGGGGTTCTGATTTTTTTGTTGAGTAGTCATAAATTTACTAACTTGTTCTGTGTGTCAGTATATGCCCTCTGATCACCAGTGCCCTTTGTTTGAGAAGTTCAGTAAGCACCCAGCATTTATCCCTTTTTGAGTAATGGTATTCCATAAAGTATGTGTTTCTTTCTATTTGCAGAACACTCTCCTGCAGGAAACAGTGCGTAGAGAGTGTGAGGAACGCTATGAGCTAACTGAAGCTTTGACTCAGGCCAGAGAACAAGTATTAGAACTGAAGAGGCTCAGTGGAAATTTCCCACTGTCACAATGTACACTGAGTCAGGGCAGCCTAACCTCCTGTGCTGCGCTGGTCAGCAATCATGGACAGAGGAGCCTAACAAGCCCAAATTCTGGGAAAGGAATCACACACTCGGGCTTGTGTGGCATTTCAAGAGCTGCTAATGCACCAGCTTTCAATAAGCACAAGAGCAGTGGTAAAATGGGTTTGCCAGCTCTAACTCCACCTCACCCTCCCAGGGGCAGAGCATCTTCTGTGAATGAATCCAAGAACAGAATAACTGCAGTTATAAGAAGGCAACTGAGTCAGCTCTGATATATAAAATATCAACGACAGTATTTTGATAAAGCATGCAAACCATTTCATTGCATCATATGGCCACTTAATTGTGGACTATGAGGCAAAATGGTACCAGTAAATTAACCTTTATTGGCAATTAGCACATTTCTAGCTCTTCTAACCATTTAAAATTAAGCTGAAGTCTTTTATGTAGTTATATGTTATAAGCCAATCATGGTTGCTTATTTTTTGTTCAACAGTATAATTGAGGTAAATGCTATATATATTTTAAAATGAGAAATATACAAATGAAAACACTTAGGCTGCATCTAGACTGGCATGATTTTGCACAAAAGCAGCTGCCGCCTGTCTACACTGGCCGTGAGTATTTGCACAAGAACACTGACTTTGTAGTGTACAAAATCAGTGGTTCTTGCGCAAATACTCTGACGCTCCCGCTCAGGGATAAGCCCTCTTGCGCAAGTATTTTTGCGCAAGAGGGCCACAGTAAACAGCAACGTTAATTTCTTGCGCAAGAAAGCCCGATGGCTAAAATGGCCATTGGAGCTTTCTTGCGCAAGAGAACATCTACACTGGCACGGATGCTTTTGCACAAAAGCAAATGTTTTGTGCAAAGGCACATGTCAGTATAGACACTCTCTTGCGCAAATATTTTTAACGGAAAAACTTTTCAGTTAAAAGTATTTGCGCAAAATCATGCCAGTGTGGACACAGCCTCAGTGTTTTCAGCAAATCTGGAACAATTGTAATGACAATGTTTGCAAAGCTCCAGAATTATTTTTACTAAATCATCACCATGTCCTAGTTTTCAGATTTCAAATTTTATCCAGTTTAACTCCAGTGCTAATTAGTGCTGTACACATGTAACTCATTCCTTTAAGGGAGTTTTGTCCTCCCTTCATTGAGTAGTAACATACTTGTGAGTAGCTCCATTTCAGACAGTGGGATTGACCACTTTTGGAATAATGTATCACTCACCAGGAGAGAAGATGGCAGAGTCAGACCCTACATAATAGACAAAATATTTAGGGAAGCGACCTTCCACCCACTGCTGTATGTATCCTGTACCCTCTCCAGTAAGGGAATTGCCATAATTCCACTGAAGTCATTGAAACTATGCCAGTTTACCCATATGCAGTGCCAAGGATCTTCTAGGGATGTTAAAATTCTTCTTTTGTACCAACATTAAAACCCAGTGTCCCTAGTTCCTATACTATTCCAATTACTTGTTCTGTAACTCTGGACCTCAAGTTCCATGAGAGCTTCAGTAAAACATCATATCCAAAACCCAGCAGGTTTGGTACTGCCTCAGTCTGACCTTTTGATTTTCATCAAACATCATCATATTGAGCCTCCTCTTTATAGTTTGAGGTCACCCCTCTGCTTGCACATAGGATCTTGCACTCAGTTTTACACAAAGAGTTAACATTCTCCTTTTACTACCATGAACTTGGGACAGTGCTTTTTTCTGGAACGTTCCAGGGGGATACTAATTTAAAATAAATAAATAAACCCAAGCAGTCTCTGTTACTTTGATGTGGTTCGATTAGTGCTATATGGTAACTTCAGATTTCACTCCCTGGATCACCAAATCTTTGGAATGCTCTGGGACAGTCTAGTTAGACTTACCTTTGTGTGTTCCTAGGAGACCTCTGTTCAGTCTCAGGTTCAGGTTGGTGGTTGTGACATGAACTAAAACCTCATAGGAGGGAGAAGAAAGAGGAAACTTTGGAGATTCTCAGAGCAGTAGTCAGCAGCTAGAGGACTGAGAGGTTGCATGATCCTTTTGAAAGCTTCAGAACTGGACACACTGTTCCCCTCTAGTCATGTTGTTGTTCTTCACAGGACACTTTAAGTGCTAGCCATGAGATACTTTTGTAATCACACACTGGATCTTGACCTCTTGATTTCCTGGTTGTGAAACGATCTCAGTGTGCTGAAATGACTGTAATAGTCTATGAGAGACAAAGTGGGTGGGATAATATCTTTTATTGGGCCAACTTCAGTTGGTGCAAGAAATAATGTTTTGAGCTTAATAGAGTTCAGGCCTGGAGGAGAAAAGTAGAGCTAGAATTAGGTCAGTGTTGAGCATGTAAATTCTACATCTATTTCCTAGTATGATTTCTCTCTTTCTCTGTTTCTAAAGGTCACTCTTCTACCTATTGTTTTATTGGGATTATTTAGTTACACTGTGACTCACATATGGACTAGATCCTGCAGCTTTTTATGCAGGCAAAACTCCCATTGACCTCAGGGAGAGTTTTGCCTGCCAAGGAACAGTATGATTAGTTCACATCTCAATTATAAACAGAAAGGGCCAGAACCCCAGGGCCAACTGAGTTCTGCTTGGTCCAGGTCCTGAGGAGTGGCAGGAGAGGCCACCTTTCCACTTCCCTGAATGTGGGATTAACAGGGAGACTAAGGGTTGCTGTAAAATATGCCAGTTTACATTCCCTTATAGACTACTTTGCCATTCTGGGATCACCAGAGTACAGTGAGAGGAAAGTAGAGGCCAGATATAGCACCATCTATGCTAGTTTTATTCTGCTTGGCAATTCTTCTACATCAGGGGAATTCTTATCTCCCGTGCTAGGACAGTTGTCCATCCCCTTTGTACTGCTGGAGCAGTGGCAGTGCAAAAGAGACAAATTCATAGTTCAGGATCTGGTTCCTTGGTCTGTTGTAAAGTAGATGTCGCATGATAGACTATGAACTGCAGTCATCTACTATATATTTTAGAGACTTTGGGCATATGTCCATCTATGAGTCCATTTATTTAAGAACTCCTAAACAGTAAGAGCTAGGATGACCTAATTTGGTATGTCGCTATCTCTTATCATAACTTAAACTAAGGTCAGGGTTTCATTGTACCTAGACAGTGCAATGTGCATGGGATGTGATTGTTTTTCATCAAATGAAAAGGGAGGGGTTTGATAGCAGGTACAGATATACTCACACATGACTACAGGAGGGCAGCAAGTGTCCCAGCCCCAGGAGCAGCCACTAGCTGGCAGCACAGCCCCCACTGCCCTGACCTACCCCAGCAAGCAGCTGCCAACTGGGCTGCATGGCCCCTCCTGCCCCGGATCAACCCCATTGAGAAGCCAATTGAAAGCCTGATTGCTCCCCCCTTTCCTACTTCCTCAGGCTGGCCCCAGGGAGAAGCCAGTGGGCAGGCCGTGCAGCCCTTGTCACTCCAGGCCAGACCCAAACCCAGACAATGCCGGATAAGTCTTCTGGTAACATATAAAATCAGAAATACCAAAATTGACTAAGAACAATCATAGGAGTAAGGCAGTTAGCACCGGGAAAGCATGTGAATCACAAATTAAGGAGCTGATCAAGAACAGTCCTGGCTTCTCATTCTGTCCTCACCTTACAGAAATCCAGCACTCTCTGCTAAGCAATAAATAAAAATGCATTCACGTTAGGAAACCTTACTCCGTGATGCTGAGGTTTGAAAGACAACATGACAGGATCTAAGTTAATTTCACAGAGCTGAACAAAGACGTCAAATCTGTGATAGCTAATGCATTTCTTTTACGTGGCTGAAACTTACCAACAGGCGGTAGCACTAAAAATATATTGTAAGGTCCCTGATTACATCAGGAAACCGGGGTGTCAGCTAGAGGTAATACTTCTTTTGAAAATGATGGCAATTCTGAAGCAGACTTGGCTGAAGAATGTGGCTTGTACTATTTATGTAGCAGACATAATGGCATACTGAAAAAAAAGTGTGCTTTGGAAAGGCTGTGTAATACCTCATGGACATAAACCAACCTTTCGTTAATAGGGATATTGGGGGAAAAAAAACCTTCCTTATGTGCAGGTTATCCCATAGCTGTTTACAGCAAGTTTTGTGCATCTGCCTCATGAAGCCAGTACTGGCTGCAGTTGACTGCATAATGTATCTTAGAGCAGAGGCTGGTCTCCTTCCACTTCCCTCCCTACCCAGCCTCCAGCGTCAGGGAGCACAAAGTTGGCATACAGCTGCCTATTTCCACCTAGCCCCCAAGTCTGATGCTAAGCCCAGTTCAGCTGGACCTGATGATTAGGGCCCATAAATGGCTGTTTCCCCTGCATTTTTTAAAAAAATGGGTAGATCTTGGTCTGAACTTGGAAATGCTTCCTTTAGCCTTATAAGCCATGTTTTTGATTTTTAGCCAAGCCAAGAGAGGACTTACATTCATCATGCCAGCATAACATGGTACCTTAGAACACGGCATCCAGGGGATTTCAGCTGTTCAGGGAATGAGCAAGGCTCCACAGGCAGAATCGTGTTGATTTTGGTTAAATGTAGAAGAGGGGACACATGGAGGCACCTCTGACATCTCATTAGCAGAGCCATCAGCGTCAATTACCTCAGAAACTGTCTATAGCTTAATGAACCTGCTGATAAGAATGACAGGGGGAAAGTCTGTGTACTGCTAGAATGGGTGTGGGTGTCCACAGGGAGTCTCTGGCATAGCAAGCAAATGGGAGTATCCTGGTAATGGGGAAGGGGACATAGGGCTTCTATAGCTCCTGGCATACAGGGAAATTGGGGGTGCTCCCTGATATGAGGGAGGGGAGTTAGGCTGCAGGGGTCCCTACAATGGAGGAGCATGGGAGGGTAGCACATACAGCACTCTTTTGGGGGGGGAAGGGGAAGAGAGGGCTGCAAAGAGCTCAGCCTAAAGCAGCACCAAAGAATGTAAAGCCCTCTCATTTATGAGTGCCTTGGGGTTCTCGTTACATTTTTGGGAGCATTCTAATGACTTTTTAAAAGACCTGTAAACCAAGACCATTTTTTCACCCACTCAACCCATAGTGTTGCCTAGTTCATAAAAACTTTGCTACCCCTAGCTGTTGAAGGCAGGAGATGTGTGTTATTGACATTAATAGGGGCTGGAGCAGGCCCAGCAAATCTATTGTACTTATTAAAGCCAGTGACGTCCAGACCTAATAGGGGTCATATTTTTTATTTTAAAACCTCCACATCTAATTTTACAATATAAATGTTGATTTACCTCAGGTATCAGAGCTGATAATGGAGCCTTTACTTTAATGACTGGTTAAGATATGGGAGCCCAGTTCATTTGTAGTTTTTTTCCTTGAAGGAAGAAAGTAGACCTCAGAAAAAAAATGGTCTTTGTATCTGAGCGCATTACAATGTATAGAAATAGAAATTAGAGCCAGGCTACTATGATATACTGGTAAAGGATATACTGGCAGTCCCCGAGTTACGCAGATCCGACTTATGTCGGATCTGCAGTTACGAACGGGGATTTTCTCCCTCCTCCAGGGCAAGAAAAGCTGCTCCCCGTCTCCCTGGTCTGCTGGGGGA